TAGGCCCACTTCTTCTACTTCTGGAGCTCTGATTGGCTGATGATGCTTTGCTCCTTTGAGTGCGTTCTTCTTCAAGTCTCTTCATAACTGCTGTATGTCGGGCCAGATTTTCCACTGTAAGGTCAGGGTTGATTCTACGTATAAGTTCCATTTCTACGTGACGGGGCAAGTGGTTGGGTTCCTCTTCGTCATGGAGTGGCCACTCCTCAGGGGGAAACTGTGCAGAGAAGGTAGCCAATTGCTTGGCTTTATCCTTCTTAAAACTCAGACGAAACAATTTCAAACCAAACTTTTTCCCTCCTGTAGCACTGCCCAGCGTTTGCTTGTCTAGGTCCCCACATCCTCCTCCTCCAACAGGCCCTCCTCGGTGCTTGATGAGGGTATCTGTCTTAAACGAAATTCCCAGGGAACTACGGTTCTTTTCTGAGTTGCTGGCTGGTTGCTGAGAAGGTGTTTGTGGGGAGTATTGTGATGAGTATGTGTCTCTGTGTTCTTTCGGAGACGGTCGCTGAATTGTAGTGTGGTGGCTGGGTGGATCATGACCACTGCTGTAAAAAAAATCATCACCTCCTGCACAGTGGCTTTGGCTGGACTTTGTGTGTGTGCAATCTAGAAACCCCCCTGAATTGGATGGTGTTATGGTGCCAGAAAGAGGAGAGATGCATTGAGTTTGCTGATGCCGCTGTTGTTTCTGATGCTGGTATCTGTCAGATGTTCGCTCATCTAAATGATACCACTTTGAGCTAGTTCGAATAAGACTTGGGGTGATGAAGTAGGTTTGAGGAGTTACAATGAAATATCCATCGGGTGTTGGGTAAATTTTACGCTCTCGGACCAGTAAGCTAAGTGTGTGGTGCAGGGCTTCCTCTGTTGGTGTAGGAACACCTAAGAAAATATCAAAAAAGTTACAGAATTAATAAATATATTGTAAATTAATTAAAAGACCTAATACAACCACCAACATTGCTATGCAAGAAAATATTTTTTCATTTCTTCAACTCTAGACGACTTATAATGCACAAGGATTTCCCCTTGTGCATTATAAGTCTGACAGGTTACCAGAATATACTTGCCTCTGCACTGTCCACACCACTACATGTTAGCCTCATACACTGTTGCCTGGTAATACACCTCCAAGCTTTTGTGACTTGGTGCATACTGCCTGCGCCATCATTTATTTTATTAATTTTATTTTAACAATACTTTAAAATACTTTTTAAAGCCAAAAGTGACTACTCACTTTTCTGTACTCACAAAAGTGAGTACACCCCTCACATTTTTGCAGATCGCTCCTCAGCACACAAAACACGTCACACACACAATTGGTGACAAAAAAAACAGTGTATGTTACATACATAAGCTAAATTATGGAAAATTAGTTCATGCATTAAATGTTTTGTAGCCATTTCATTGATGACGTACAGGCAGTAGGAGCATGCTCTCATAGAATGGCAGCCAGTGCAGTTAGTGAGAGGTTGATGAATCCCAGGTGAGCCTCAGCTCGATGCTGCCTCACCGGCTGCTCCTCCCAGCATTTGAATGGGAAAACTGTTAGTGTATGTAACGAAGAAGCAATCATAAACGGCAGGGAAACGATTCGAGGTGAGACAGGCAGTTCTCTTGGCTCATTGCAGGGGGCGCTCATGATCCCAGATATTGTGACTCCACAATATCCATATATATATGTGTGTGTGTGTGTGTGTGTGTGTGTGTGTGTGTGTGTGGTTGTGTGTGTGTGTGTGTGTGTGTGTGTGTGCATTTGTAAGATAATTTGTAAGAGAGAGTGCTATGCTATGTATGCTCAGGATTGGGAATTAAATTGGACTGGACAATCTACGGTTGTCTTTCAATAGACAGCTACAGCTGTGCTTGCAATGAATCTATCACTGAAAGGAATTTTAATTCATTTCTGAATGTTTTACAAAGTTAAAATTTTTATCTGTCAAGTTAATGTTTGTTGTCTGTTGTTTTGTTGGTTTTTCTATAATGTAAAGTGACTGAACATTCTAGAAGATTTGGTTCCATATGTTTGCCGTTTATGCTCTAACCAAGTGTAAACTGAATAATCAAAATAGATGTCAGTGAATTGTGTTGACTGGCTATTGTGTTACCTGGAAAACATGTCTGCAGGTGTTCTGTTAGAGTCTCCTGAGTGACACTCTTGTGGGCAGAATTCATAGCAGAGACAGCCAATAATAAAACTTCTCCCAGTGGGATGAACTGCGACTGGCTGATAGGGGACATACTGATGGGAGAGACATCACCTGGAAAGGGAGCCACGTCATTAATTTCGAGTGTCTAAGATTGACAAAAAAATCTATTAGGTACAAAGTATTCTTATTTCTTTCCCAAAATGTAAATATTACAGTATGAGACTGTGACATGACTTTTTAATACATCAATATTTGAGGCATGTTGTATACTAATTATCGCGAAAAAAAAACTTTAAACTTGATCTTTTTACTTTGATTTACTTAAGAAAAAAGAACTTTGCTTTTCATGAAAACCAGATGTGACATAACCTCAATATATTTGAAATTTCATCAATAGATGTAATGTGTGTTGTGACATACTCCAGTGAGACTTGCTTGTGACCACTTTTATTTGCCAGAGGTGCACACCTGACAAACTGATTTGTCAGGTGTGGCCAGCAGCAGTTTATTTGCATCATGACATAGCCTTAAAACAGCACATTCTTTAATGAGCTGAGGCGGTGAATGATTTTGTGTACTGAAAATTATGAATGTGTTTTTTATAACCTGCAGACCTATCCTATAGCTTCTTCAAGGAAGCATAATAATGAACCTTTAACAAATATGTAAACAATATTTTGTAAAAGTTGGCAACTCTTTAATTTATTTCTAAACATGCAGTTCTCAAAACTGAGAATTATTAAACCCTCACATAAAAATAAACAGTGAACACAGGCCACAAAAATTGACTAGACAGGAAAACAATGTAGCATTTAACTGAGAATTATAATTAATTCCAAGGGCCCTTGAACAACTTTTTTTTTCTTATAGAAATAGAAAAAAATGGGGGCCCTGTCAATTGCCCTCCTCCTGGTTCTGATTGGTTGTTTTTGGTCAGAATAGTGCATTACTTTAGACAGCAGTAGCAGCTCAGGGAGGAGGTGGAGGAGATTGATCTTTTCACAGATTATCTGTTTCATAGCAAACTGTTGTAACATGGTGACAGCTATAGCAAAAAAAATTTTTCATTATTATTAAAGTTATACTCTGCAGTTTGAACAAAATGCAACAATATAAGATTTTTTTTAAAATAGGGAATATGACCTATGTAATATGGGATCCAGCAGGACAGTCTGAGGCTATCTTTTCAAATATTCTAGTTAAATGAGATTCAAATAGCTGCCCTTTCTCTAAATGCATTGATTTCAACATATGAAACCAATTGTCATTTTTCAAGCATGTGTGAGCAGTTTTTGTTTGAGGTTCTGAATGAAATTCTGCAATGCCATTGAAATAGTTAATTAGTCTTCCTTAAGAACTAAGAAAATATCTTTGAATTGACCAGATTAAACAACCCATGAACGTGTGTAGGCCTTACCCAAGCATTTGATGGTGAAGCCCCGCGGAGGGTTAAGAGATCTCCGCATCCATCCCTCTCTTAGCACCTCCAGATGGTCCTCTTTTCCCTGGATCAGGAGCACGTGTTCATCTATCCATCCCAGGAAGAAGGTCTCCTACACAGCTTCAGTAATCCGCTGGTTCCATATATGCTGCTGAGAGTTTTCTGCTTTAAAATCGGCAAAAATCTCATAACCAGTGTGGTGTCTCGGAAGCTCGTCGCTCTCTGACACACCAGCTGCAGCTGATGCCTCAGCACCTCCATCTCTGGCCAGTACGATGGCCAGAGAATGGGGAGCAATCTGCAGGAAAGATTCCATTGACAGTATGGCCTTTTAGCTGATTATTGACTCGCTTATAGCCATCAGTTTTGTTAATTTCAAACACATTTAGATAAACTGGGAAGCAAAAACTCAAAATCTGCCGGCAATGCGGCTAAGCTCAGCAGCAACCGCATAGCCCACAATTATTTTAAAAAACGGTGCTTGCCAAAAATCTGCCTTTTTAAGGTTACATAAAAGTCATTTCTGGTCCCACTCTGAGCGCAGCCTGTCGGGTCGTGAACGTGGGTTCAGTGAAAAACAGCTTTCGAACGCAGACACGACATGACATTGGAACATATACCAAACAGGCTCATTGTTAGGTCACAAACTAGCTAGCTAAATGCTAACGTGATGTTAGTTCACCCAGGCAACAGATGCGCGAGCTGCCCTCCACAGCAGCCAGTGGTGTGGGACGCCTCTTTGTTCTACTCCTCGTGAGGCGCAAAGCAGCCAGATGTCCAGTCGCTGTGCAGGAAAGTCCTCCTCTGGCGACCGGGCAGCTTCAAGACCGACACCATAGCTGGATGCAGGAGTCTCATCCAGACACAACGAAAGCAAACGTCATTACGAAGTTGCGTCACCACAGCGTCATCTCAGAGTATGTGAAGCCTACTACGAGTTGTAAAGAAAAATATGTATAATTTCGCTCTCATATTAGAAAGCATTATATTCAAATATAATTTCTTGGTATGTCTACATTCTACTTGTTGTAGATTATGTATTATTTTGATCATGGCTACCTGCAGTTTTTAGATGCATCTATATGGAGTGAAAATAGTCTCAAAATACCTGTGCGTGTGTAATACTGCATTTGTAATCTGTGTAAGCATCTTTGTGTGTAACTTTGTGTAACCCAAAAGTTACTTTAAATACACCTAATAAGGTATTGGAGCACTAATGCTATGAAAGTATATCTAAAAAGAAGTTGGCCCGGATCAAAAGCTAAATTCTAGTTGTGAATGACAACACAGGAGTGCACAAAGTGTCAACAAGAAATAGTCAAATTTAATAATAAAAACAATTGTGGATCCACATATACAATTGCAACCAAATATCACACTTTTTTTTTTTTAACAGAAAATAAAATAAATAACAGTCGTTTCAATGTGTCAGTCGATTCTCTCAGTATTTCAAGGATAGTGACCAGTCGGGTCACTATCCTTGAAATACTCGGCTCTCTGGGCTGGGGCTCGCCATCCAAATTCAGAAGTGGGTCTTGAAGTCTCTGGGCACTCCAGGCCAAAAGTGCACTGTAAAAAAAAAAAAAACCTGACCTGGAACAAGGCCCAAACAAAACATCTCAGAATACAAGATGCCAATATCAATCAAACCTATGTATCAATAAATTGTTATAATTCAGAGATCTTCCATCATTGCTCATTTTTTTCTTTTCAAGTTGTACAAAAGTCAGCAGTTTATCAGAATACAATGTTATTTACACATCAGTGAAACTAAAGAAATTAGCTTCATATGTGGTAAAGAAAAATAATACAATAGAATAATAATATATATTGTAATTCAGGGCCGTGCAGAGACCACTAAAGGGGCAGGTGCTCAAAAAAAAAAAAAAAAAGGGCACATCTAATCACATTTTAGGACCGAATATTAACAAAGTCACACAGCTTTCAGAGTTTAATTAACAATGATAAATTACAAAATTGTGAGACATACAATCAAAGAACATCTGCCTGGGTTGCTGTACTTGCAATGGAGATGAAGACTGTCCATTCAGAAAAACAGAGCTGCATCAAACTTTAACGTGGAACTGCAGGAAAAAAACAAAGGCAAAAATTTAATTAATGCATGTCACTATGAGAAAAGACTACTCTTAACATAATAAAAGCAAAACAAACAAGCTTATTTGCGCATGTCAGAAATCTTTGCTTGCTATTCAAAGTTTTGCTTGCCATTCTCACATGACGTCCTTGGCAGAGCCTGAAATAAAAAACAAAGATTTCTGATGTGTGCAAATAAAAGTTTATGTTTGCCCCTTCATTAATGACATGCTTTATTGGACAGATTATTGATTATTACATACATTATATCCATTGTGGTAGTTCAGGATGAGTTATTTTTAATTCTAAATGAATATCTTTGTTGGACTTTTATTTAAGTTCTCCTTCGAGATACATTTACCTAACACTAGAATAAATGCAATGTACATCATTCACCAAAGAAAATTAGAAAATCGGACATATATCCATGATGGAGATGATGGTTTTTGGACGGGCGATGTGCCCCTATTGCATAAATAATGTTGTCATTAACAATACAGGGAAACTTTTTAGTCATCTTGCTTTGCTAGCAAAGTCATTAGCTAGCAGCTAGCTCATAGCACAACAACAACAGCCTAATGTCTGATGACAAAAATACTGGATCGATAGATAAGAACAGCTTTCAATATAACAAGAGGAAACTCTTGTTATATTTCATTTCTGCTTAAACCGCGAGAAACGATACAACATTTAACGTTTTCCGTTATCTGACAGTAGCAAGCCAACTCCAGTTTTTTCACCCAATTTTTTTTTTCAATTCACCAAAAGCTGTTTTGTAATCTGGAACGTCGCTAGCTTGAGCTCCGCAGTTAGCCGCCTTGTCTCACCGCGCGAGAGGAAAGTGCGTCGTGCGTCACGGGCAAAAGGTCAAAGGTAACAATGTGACCGCAGGGCTTATTGTGTTGTTTTTCTTGCAAAGTAATAATAATAATAATAATAATAATGATAATTGTAGTACATGTGTAAGAAAAAAAAAAAGACCAAAGGGGCACTTGGGGTCATGGAGCGAAAGGGGCAGGTGCTCAAGCCCCCATAACAACCCCCCTCTGCACGTGCTTGACAACAATAATAATAAAAATCTTACTGTGCTACTTTATTTTTATTAAATTTGATCAGATATTACGTGTTTTTGCCAATTTTCAACCAATTCACTGAGCCAACTGCCGAGCGCGTGCGGTCACTCACCAACGCTCTGACGAGTCTGACGCTAACGGGGATTTTTTTTCCCAGTCTCAGCTGCTCTCAAAGAAACTTTCAGGGATAAAAAAAAAAACCGAATTTACTATTTTTAATTATATATTTTGAGAAACTATACCAATATTGTTTTTATTACCGTTTGTCCAGATTTTATCATCTCTTTCAGGCTCTTAACGAAAACACCGGTCAACTGTGAATTCTCAACCGCCTCTGACGCGTTCTGAGCAGAATCACAGCGCAGTAGTGAAAGGGGCGGCACAATCAACCCCATTGGCTGACGCAATATCAGACCACACCAGCCATTGGTTGCCCAATCCATCAGCAAAACAATCACTGTAGGCCTACTTCACAGCTTTTAAACATTTTTAGAACTTTTTGACATATTTTTCTAAGTAAAATAAAACACAAAATCTATTTATACTTTCCAATCTTGTGAAACAAAAAAGAGACATCAAATTAACATAATTAACTTTCACTTGTGTTTTTAACACTGGGTTACACTTGGATAGTTGCTCTTGTAAACCGTAAAAAGAAAATTTGTGCGATATTTTTAAATATGTGGTAACATAAAAGTAGAAACAATTACAATTTCTACAAACATTCATGTCTAAACACACATTTTTAACTACAACCTCACAAATCTGATAACTACGAATTCAAACCTTCTACTCCTACAAAGATAAATAAGTATGCACGAGTTGCCTGATACACACAGACAAAACTGCACTTACAAAACTTCACTTCAACCATTACGCTCATTACAGAAAAAGCCATTTGAATAGTTCACAAGGTTGATTTTTTATTGTCATGCCAACAATTTATTTTTAGATTCTTATTTCCTGAAACTCCCAGATTTTGTAGAGTTTCAAACTGCACAATTTATGTATAAAATTAGAAACAAACTATTAACAGAAAATATTCAAAAAAATTATTTACTGATAAAGTGGGGGTTTATGACTATAGAGAAAACCTCAACTTCAGAATTTTTAACAATGAATAACAATGAAAAGAATGTGCATTTCTCTTATTAGTGTGAAAATCTGGAATAAACTCACTATAGAGCTGAAGCCAAGCCCAAGCATGTGGTATTTTAAAGAACGACTCAAAGTGGTTACTATTCAAAAGTATAAGGATGAACAAGGGTGATGGATTTGGCTGGGAATTACATCACTGTGGATGACTTCAGCAATTGGGTGCAGGATTGTGTGTGTGTGTAAATATATGTGGGTGTGTAAATAGGCATATATATTTTAATGAATGAAGGAAATAATTTAACAATATATTTGTATATTTAACTTGTCTTTGTACCTCTTACCATACTTAACAACAGATGAGTCCATTAGCAGTAGCTCTAACCCCCGATTCCAGCATAACTTGGAAAAATCCAATCATGAAATCTCTTCTAACTTACCATCTATCTCTTTAAAGCGGAAGCAAACACTGTAGTGCCTCTGGATGCTGGCATGGGTAGCCGCTATGGTGGAGGAATGAAAAAAAAACAATAAATAACTAGGACCACAAAGCAAAACACAACAATAAAATGAGGAAATGTCTTCCACTATTTCAAGTGGTTAGCATCTCATCCAGGAACAATTTTATGGATCTCTAGATCAGTGGTAACAGTCAAGAGACCAATGCTATCACCATCCAGTGGAGTCGATTGCTATCTTAGCTAAAAGGTCGAGAAGCGATCTGTTGCTGATTTACAGCCCAAACCCACCACACACAATTTACACACTGGGTGCACGAGCAGGACATGTGTCAGATTCTTCTTCTTCTTTGTTTATTGGCGGTTGGCTATGTGTCAGATTGAATGCAGTGGCTTCTTTAATACCATGCCCACTTTGTCCAATTCGAACTGGTCTCACCTGGAAAATAATTGATTGGAAATGGATAAAGGGTTCTGCACAAAACCATTATCAATAAGAAAATCCATCCATCCATTTTCTGTACACACCTCGTGGGGCAGGAAGGGATGCTGGTTCCGATCTCCAGCAGACATTTTGGGCAAGAGGCGGGGGACATCCTGGACAGGTCGCCAGTCTGTTGCAGCAATAAGAAAATGAAACATTTCATTTCGATTTCGTTCTGTTTCAAGAGACTTATTAAGCTTCTAGACTAATATCTCCCATGTCTCTGTCACCACCTCAAATCCTTCTGGTTGTTCTAAAGATACCACACCATCAGCAAGGGCGTGCAAATATGCCATTATGACATCCATTTGGTGCAATTCTAAATCATACTGGGCAGCAAACTGCATTAGAAAATGCACATATGTCATATCAGCAATTGGGGAAAAAGTCTCATGACAGTCAATACTTTTGTTACATATAGTGCAGTGGTTCTTAATTTAGGTTCGGTGAGTCAGTCGGTCTCAGGGCTTCGGCATAACCGCGCCCAGCTTGTCCATCACTTGCTGCAGAGGATCAAGTGACATTGCTTAGCCAATCAGTGCTGCGGGGAATTTAGCGCGCGCAGTAGTCAACGACAGTCGTAGTTGGTGTGGTTTCTTTCTCAATATTTTAATCCATACTAAACATTAGTGATGGTGAGATGAAGCCTCATGAGGCACTGAACCACTTGAGCCAAATGGTTCGAGAAAGGATTCATTTCTTGAAGCTTCATGTGCACACAAAACCACCTACTGGCCAGGTGTATAATCACAGCCAACTGTGTAACACGTGTGATGCATTTAATTTTTGTCTATTATGGCTCTTGGGAATGACTTCAGAAAAGGTGTAGAATGAAATCGTTTGTCTAAATTATGAATATACATATGTGTATAATAAAATATTGTTTGAATGTATTCTCTGTGTGTAATTTTTTCCAAAATAATAGTGTCATGTGATATGGCATGTTGTGTAATGATGTTTTTCTGTAGGGCTTATCAAATCAAAATGTTACCACATAGGTTGCTGCAAATTATTTTTGCTAATTTTTGTATAAATGATTTATGTATATATGTTCAGAGAAAACAGCACAAAAATGGTAAGTAATAGTGAATTTCTTAATGGGAAGGGCCTTTATTTTGAAGAACAAGGTGTGAGTTCAAGCTTTCAATACTATTAACTAATTTTAATAGTACATAAGTTGAGAAACACACTTTTACTGGAAGCAAAAGTGGGCATGTGTAAAATTGGCCTCAATATCAATATTTGGAGTAATCTTCAGATGTCCAGTCTACACACCACAAACAGTTTTAAAAATATTGATTTTGGAAAGCCTATTGGTTTCTCTTATCTTACCAAATATGTACTTTGAAGATTGGACAAGTATCAATCAACAAATCCATCTATCTATCTATCTCCAAACATCAAACTAAATAACCACTATCCAAACTATCCAGCCTCTATCCACTCTCTCAACTGACCGCAACTCGCCTACAACAACCCACATTTTGAATGCAGCCTGTGGGTTTTATAAAGCTGTCAAACCCCGCGCCAAACTCTGAACCACTTCCTGAAGCAGTCACGTGGTACAGCCGGGCAGCGAGGCCTCGGACGTCATCGTTTTCGGCTCCTCCCCTAAATGAAGCAAGCCTCGATACGCGCTTTACGGAAACGTCCCCTCCTTTACTCGACACACTCTCCGAAGCCTCGGCACATCACGTAACATCACTACTAAACATGTTGAGCAAAAATAGAAAGTAGTCGGATGAATATGTACAACAGGGGTGATCTATACGTCGACAGATGAGTTGACGTATTGACTCATCAGTTTGCAGCAGGTGACAAACTGAAGGCCTCCAGGTTGCTGATACCAGCACTTCCTCTTCTGACAGGCTTATCAAAATATTCACCAACATCCCAAACATTTGTAGCTTCATTAAAGAATAATTTAAAAAAATGTGTTAAAATTAACAATCAGTAATTATTATTTCAAAAATATTCAGTGCGTTTCAGTTCCATTAACCACAAAAAGGCGAATCAAAGACCGACTGACTAGCAAAGCAGGTATTTCAGTCAGCCAATCAAACACCGCTTCATGGGAGGCTTATTAATAATCGGGAAATAAACATCAAGCCTGGAAACCTGATATCGTAATGGACCGAATGTTTTAATGTGATCTCTGCTCGGCTTGCGGGCGATTCTTTAAACAAATCCAAATATATTTTTAATTGGTAAAATAGCAATAAACATGTCTTTTTGGGGGCTGAAATTATTTTATGGGCCCAAAATATTTTTTGGTATAGCCGTAATAAAATACCCGTCAATTGTCTAATTCTAATTGTCTAGCCCACATGCAGAACACCACACGAGAGACGAAACTTGTGGAAATGACGAGCACTGTTTGGGAGGGTTGCTGAGGTGTTCGGGGTCTCGGTCTCTTTATGGGTCCAAATGATCCAGCGGTTGGCCAGAGGAATCCGGAAGGCAACGAGAAAGTGCGGCGGAGGGCGGATAGGTAAGTTCAGACGGAGTGGAGACAGAGGAGCGGTGCTACTGACAGTCGGAGAATCCAGGAGGAACTTGCAATCAGACGGAGGAGGTGAGTTTGGAAACTCGGGCAACCAGTGGGTACGTTCCACGGCGTCACGATGGAGATCTTGTTCAGAAAACCAGGAAGATCGTCACAAGGAGGATCCAGTATGGCAAGCAAGAAATCAGTAGATTAATTCAACAAAGAGACTTGCTCCATAGGACTCATTGTACCATTACTGGCTAACACTCAGTACTCGCAGTCATTTCTTCTTGTACTCCAGGACTAATGAGAGGATTGAACTCAGGTGTGCAGGATGACGGTACACTTCTCCAGAGAAGGAATGTTTTGGCGCTATCTGGTGGATGAATGGTGAGTAGCACCAGAAGGAAAAAACCCACAAAGAAAACAAAGAACTCCGGAACACGACAATGTTCTTGTGCGAAATTCGATTCCCCTGTGAAAAGACCGTCATTTGTTGTGAGTTCATGCACTGTGTTGGTTTTGTTCTTTGAGCAAGGTGATGTTCATGCAATTTGGAAAAAAAAAAAAATTATTTATCACTAAAGAAGGGTTCTGTGAATGCGCATATGAAACTGGTGGGTTTGATACCTCAGAAAAGGTTAGCAACCACTGATATAGTGTCTCAGCTGAATTTTCTTTAACATTAAGCAAAAAACCCTCACTGCTCTTTTTTCCTTGGTTAATGCTGTTAGTGTGTATCATTCTCAATCAAGAGACCACTCATCCTTCATCGAAACAATCCCCAAAGTTTCGATTGTGGCGGGCTCATAGCCTCTTACAGTGTGTTAGGCTCATTACTGTGATTCTT